GTCTGTCTCGGACTCCTCGAGTCTTCCATTATTATGCCGCTCGTCGGTGTGAAGATGAACAGAGGATCCGAGGGATTTTCCTTTTTACTACTAGTACTGTTTTTTAGTCTGTTATAAGGAAGTAACACTCCATTTCGTTTGTTCCCCTACAGGTCATGGAATGGGTGATCAGAGAGAGACCCTACAAGCTGAGTGAGCTTGATTACTCCTATCTCCTAGAGTTCACAGCTAAAGTTCATGGCATTTCTGAAGCCGAGAGCCTCTTCCTCCGTATACCTCAAGAATTCCGGAATGAGCTGCTCTACAATAACCTTGTAATGGCTTGTTTGGAGCAGGGCTTGATTAAGCTTTCATATGGTTACATGAGGAAGATGAGGGAACTGTCCCTGCCAATTTCGCCGTATGTTTACAACCGCTTGATCATCCTCCATTCTTCTGAGGGGCGTCGGAAGACTATCTCCAAAATCCTCGCTCAGATGAAAGCCAGTAGAGTGACCCCCCACACCTCAACCTACAACATCTTACTGAAGATACAGGCCAATGAGCACAATATTGATGGAGTGGCGAGGGTGTTCAGTGATATGAAAAGAGCAAAGATTGAGCCAAATGAGATCACTTATGGCATTCTAGCAATTTCACATGCTGTAGCAAGGCTATATACTGTTTCCCAGACATACATAGAAGCCATCAAGAATTCTATGACAGGTACTAACTGGTCTACACAGGAAATTCTTCTTATCTTGTATGGGTACCTTGGAAAGGAACATGAGCTAAAGATGACGTGGAACCTCATGCAATGCCTTCCTCATATTCGATCCAAAAGCTTTACACTAGCAATTGAAGCATTTGGAAAGGTTGGCTGTGTTGAGCAGGCAGAAGAGATTTGGCGAGAGATCAAATCAACAAGGAAGCTAAAGCTTACAGAACAGTTCAATTCCATGTTATCAGTTTACTGCAGGCATGGCCTTGTGGATAAAGCAGCGGCCGTGTTCAAAGAAATGAGAGCAAGTGGTTGTCAACCGAATGCTATTACGTATCGCCACTTGGCATTGGGTTGCTTGAAAGCAGGTCTTGTGAAACAAGCTGTGAACACAATGGATATGGGAAAAAAGAAAGTTGTCACAAGGAAGGTGAAAAGTTCAACACCATGGTTGGAGACCACTCATTTATTGCTTGAAAATTTTGCAGAGATTGGTGACTTGGAAAATGCGAAGAAAGTTTTTGCAGAACTGAATGAATCAAAGTACTGTAGAAATTCCTTTGTGTATAATACCCTTCTAAAAGCTTATGTTAAGGCAAAAGTTTATGAGCCAGATTTTGTAAAGACGATGATTTTAAGAGGTGCAATGCCTGACGCCGAGACACATAGCCTTCTGAGACTGATTGAACAGTACAAGACATGATACTGTCCATGCAGTAACCAACTGCTGGGGCTTTGAAGGATTAGGATGAAAAGGAAACATCAGTGCTAAGTTGAGCCATTTCTTCTGCACGCAATGCATTCAATCGTCATTTGACTGTGGAAGTGGTACATGAACATGTGCACAATCCAATTGATGAAGTGCACCTTTCTTTTGGTATCCAAGCAGCTTGTCCAAAACTTTCATGGTCAAAATATCGAAACTGGTGTTTCCTTTGTGTATGAGTTGCATAAAACAATCAGCTAGGTCAACGAGTCTTTTGATAGAATGTAAAGTTTTTTTTATTGCCATTTTGATTTTGTTTCTGTAAACATTGCAGGAGATCTGCATTTCACTTAAAACTAGACTAGAAGGGTCCAAGGGAAATTACACCAGTCGCTGGACAAACACGTCCAAGAAAAATTACAAACTCAGCATTTTACAGTTACGGCGAGACTAGATAGACATGTTACACGTACTGAAGATATTGTACTACCCATAACAGTATTTGTAGCTCTCTATTGCTACTTTGTTCCCAGATGCTGGTCAGAAAATGAGCAATCATGTATTCATGTGCATATCCAGGAGCAGTCTGACATTCTTGCAGAGGTTTGCACATGGACAAGGTTTGAGAAGCTGGTGAATTCTATGAACTCTTTTTGACGCTGACCCATCCAACCATCTTGATCTCCAGAACTGCCAATGGTGATACTTTCGGACCTCACGGAATATCTGTGATATACTCTAGTGTTTCCTGTTGTTCGGTGTAATCAAATGACAATCCTGAAATGTAAATAGCAAATGTTCATCTGTTCAAACAAATTTGGTCATCTTTCAGTTTGCAGCAAAACGATGCTGGTTCTTTTTTTTCTCAGAGGGAGACTGGTTCTTGATATGCAGGGGCAGACAATGTGCCCCATGAGATGCTCGACTAAAACTGGACAGCTGGTTGCTTGTTTGGGACAGAAGTAGAGTACTGCTGCCTGTTCCAAACATTGACAACCTATTTGTGTACTATCCACTTTATACAATGTCAAAACAGCTGGCTGCGGTGGCAAATCCAGAAGAACTTTTCATGTTTTGCAGGAGCTTAAAGGAAAAATATCTTCATCTTTTTTCGCGGTGACTTATACTGCAAATTACATTGGACCATCATTTCAGATCATGGGAAAAACAAAAAGATTTATCCAAGATCTGGATGCCAATCTTTGTGGACACTAGATCAAGTCATTAAGACAAGAGGAAACCTTAAAATAGAAAACAATGGTGCATTTGTTGCTACATTCATCAGTCTTGACAGTACAAAAGCTGTAGCTGAGGAAATTAACTATCTTCAAATTTCTAAACTAAGTAGTACCAAGAAACGTAATGGCATACACAGTACAGAGATAACAATTAACAATTCACTGAAAAATAAACAGATGCAATATCAGGGAAATTTATCCCCACATACATGCTAATAATTCCTTTTCCATGAAAAAGGTATACATGAGCAAAGCAATAGCATATACACTCCTACCTTATAATCTTGACTATGTTTTTGGAGCTTGACATGGTACAGACAAAGCATGATCTATATATGTTTTATTGGAGAAAATGGCAGCACCACTTTTACCTACTGCTGCTGCCTCCTCCTTGTTCTTCTTGTGGTTGTGGACTCCGAAGGTCTGGACCTCCTACTTTGGGCTGCCTGTCCCACTATAACAGCCAGGGTGCTAGAAGTCGATGCCTGCTCCATGGATGACGACTGCTGAGTAACTGCGGGTGCAGCATTAACGGAATTAGAAGATGGCAATCGGACCTGATTGCCACTCTCAGGGGCTGCGTTGCTTGCACGCAGCATTATTGGGGAGGGTGAAACAAGACTGTGTCTTTGCTGTCTCCGTACCCTAGCCCTTGACCGGGCTGCGGGAAGTACAGTCACCTCAACCCCGCCTGCAGGTGGAGCTGCCTGGCCTCTCACTATATCCTGGTTTTCTATCAACCGTCTCACCATGCTTGCAATGCCTCTTGGGTCTGGCATTTGCAGCTGCTGCCTCAAGCTCTCACTCCTGTTTGCGCGCGGTCTGGGAGGAACATCATTGCTGCAGGCATCCCGTTCACCACCTCCTCTTCCATATATTGGTGTGACATTTACTTCGAGCACCTCTCCCTTGCAAACAGGGCACTCAGAGTGGGCTGAATGTCCATGGAGCCACTGGTACAAGCATGGCCAGCAGAAGAGGTGGCCGCACGGTGTAACCACGGGCTCTTTAGCCGCTTCAAGGCAGATATTGCACTCGAAACTGGAGTTGCACCCACAGTTCCCGTCCTTCTTGACAGCACCAATTCCTGTCATCTTGCCATCACCATCGAGCTTCTGCCGCCTTGATGCATCTAGAGAGCTATGAGACCGCTGGATGGCTTGCGCCAGTCTTTCTGCTTCTGGGCTGGTCGCCCGGTGGTTGCGGTTCACTGACCCCGGCCGCACAATGCGGTGCTGTTCACTCACCTGGATCAACCTCTGCAGGCGGAGCTCAGGCGTCATGTCTTCAATTGCATTCACAGCCCCCATAGATTGCCTCATCACCCTCGTGCTCACCATCTCTGCTCCGGCTGCAGGAGTCACCAGAATAGGGTGAGAAAGCCTTTCCACCCATTCAAGGCGAACCCCTTCTAGCCCAGGAAGAGACAATGGCGCTGGCGGCGGTGGTGAGACATTGGCATCATGTGAGGACGCGTCGCGCACCACAGCCGGTTCACCAGCATCAAGAGCCTCTTCACTGTCCGTACTGAGGCCATCAAGCCAATCAAATAGCATCGGATCTATCAGCGATAGCTCCGGCGTGGAGAGCGCATTGGACGGCGAGTATACAACGGGCAGTGGCGGCATCTCCTCTGGTGCCGGTAGTACTGCAGGCTCATCCATTCTTGGAGATTCCGGAACCGGAATGGCCGAGGTGGCCGGCGGCGGGCAATCCATAGCTACACCCAGCCGACCTGGAGGCCGCGGCAATGGAGGGAGGCCCAGGTACAGGTTTAGATCCATCCGCCTCCTGTTCCCGCTTCCCTCCGCGGCCTCCTCCCCCGCCATCAAGGGCGGATCTAAATGGTGAGCCGGGTGTTAGAAGCTGTGAAGGTGAGCGGCGGGAATTGACTAATCGCTTCACGAAAACAAGGTCATACCTCAAAACCCAAAGGCCGCGGACGGGGTGCAGATAGCAGGAACGCGGATGTCCAGACGAGACGAGCAAGAACTGCAACGGCGATGGCAGCGAGGCGCGTAAGGCGATGGTCAGGACGAACAGGAAAAGAAGTTGGGAGAGTCGGTCGAGGGCTTTTGTCCACGGACGGCGAGCAGTTCTTGCGGCGCGAAATTGCTTGCTCCGGGTCCGGGAGCTTGCGGCGATCAGTGGGAGGGCGGATTTCGGCAGGGAGTCGATTGGATTTGGGGAGGAATCGGGCCGGTTTTGGGGCTGCTCGAGTGGATCGAACCGAGAAGAACGACGAACAGGGGGAGGGGAAGGAGAGGTTTTATTTTCGGCTTTTATCGCCCTCTTCCCTTCTTCTCCCGCTGTCTTCCCTCAACAAACTTGGCTGGAAGCCATTTTTATAGCACAATTGCATTTATTTTTGGTGGACAAGATTTGGAAGATTTTAATTGTATGTAAATTATGGATCCCCTCTTCATAAATACCCATGAATTATTTAAAATTTACGCTCAAAACAAAAAAAAAACGATAATCCCCTCAAAACATTTTAGATCGTCGTTATATGTGTGGACTTATTAGATTACTTGCACGGATCGCAAATCAAACGCTCCACCCTTTAAAAAATATATATAAGGTCTATATAGGAAACCTTTTAAAGTTTCACCAAGTACATGAAAATAGATTATTATTTATAATAATAATTGAATACCATATTTCATAGAAGTTCTATGGATATTGATATAATATTATAGCTATTGGTATTTTTCATAAACTTGACAATAATAATTGTTTTACACAGGTTAAAATATATAGCAAATAGGATTATGCTCTGAGAAGAAGAAATATAAACATCAACAATAACAATCTAAAATATCGTCAAGAAATAAATGTCGCAATCGTTGACCAGGCTCGTCGACAGCCATGTGCGAGTGGTGTGATTGCACTGTGCCTCAAAATCGTGGCGTCTCAAAAAACCTGAGAAATCAGTTCCCGGTCCATGAGAAAACCAGAAAAAATGTTCATGTCGGCTTGGGGCAGGCTGAACAGAAAGCAACAACCCAAGTCGCACAACTCACTAGAGGCCGCCCTATAAACTCGTGAAAGAACTGAATTAGGCCACAAAGCCCATAACAGGCACACAACATGTTTTCCAGTAGGATTTTTACGGGACGGCTCACAACCACGCCACCTCTCGTTCCCCATTCTCTTGGCCTTTGCCCAAACAACACATACATTATGCACTTTTCCTCATTTGTTCATCTGCGAGTTACCTCGCGCATTGCCCCAAGCAACCTGGATCTACATGCTTGGGCACTTTATCCACACCATGCTCTCGTGTCTGTGCGATCTGCCATGCTGACAACTCTATGATGGGTTGAATCATAGAATCTTAATTGGTCATATGCATTTGCGGTTTGCTGTAACAATCTAGCACCTGCCAAACGCCAAGCGCAATCGATTGTCGTCGACATGAAGTCGAGCATCAGAGCATGAAGCACTTTTTACTTGTACCCAACGTCGACCTGACTTGCATTTGTATAGGGCCCCTACACACGAGTTAATGACCAAGGTCCCTTGCAGGCTCGCACCCTTCGTCTCTGGATTTGTATGGTTGTCCAATGATTGAATTCTAAAGTAAGTGAGTCATCACTCATGCAATTGAACACATTTTTGTATGAAAGTTTTAATATTAGAGCCCCAAGTTGTGTTTCAAACCGATGCCATAAATTTCTGTTGATGGGTGTCTAGTGGTAAACTATTGACTTTTTAATACAATTTTATTATATGAATCTTTTTAGCAAAATGTAACTATGAATCATCCCATAAAAAGGCTTCCAGCCAAGCATCTTGGGGGCAAAACATAGGGTAAAACAAGATTTATGATGAACAATGCACATTTTTGGTTTTATCGCCACTCTCTTCATGTTCTTCCATTTATTCTCTCATGAAAATTGGTTGGAGCTGTTTCTTAACATATTTTATATTTATGTATTCATTTATTATAAAGATTTGCAAGATTATATTGTATCAAAAATACTAATATTTTCATAAATGGTTGTGACATCTTCCCATATTTATTCACAATATTTCATATTACTGGCATTTATTACCACAAGGAGTGGTTTCTTGCGTAAATAACATATCCATAATAATAAATGACAATCATATGAAAGATTGAGAAATGTTATAGGAACCGATAAACCGTGAAAGCTTTAGAGTATTAAACAATCAAGTATTTTGATAGTGTTAAATCATCCAAAGCTTCTATCACGACCCAGTCCCAAGAGGGGCCCCGAATCTTCGCGCTTTCTGTGTCAATCCCTGGATCAATAGCTAACACGCACACTCGTCGATGAATCCATGAATATATCACATGTCATAGTATTACATCCTCGATCCAGTGCTTTACAACGCAAACCAGCTTAGCTCATGTCTAGCTTATAATACAATCATGCAACAGAGATAATATTCTAGTCTTGTGGCGTCCATCCACTCACACGGAAGAGTTGAGTATAGTGTCGTAATCCTACTTCTTATATTTCCTTCGATACGGTAAACATGTGATACACTTCCAATGTATCTATAACTAATGAAGTATTCATGCCATGTTTACAATATTTTTATATAGTTTTGGTGCACTTTTATATTGTTTTTATGGACTAACATATTAATCTAGTGCCCAGTGTCAGTTATTGTTTTTTGCATGTTTTTTGTTTTGCAGAAAAAACATATCAAACAAAGTCCAAACATGATGAAAATTTATGATTTTTTATGAAATATATGTGATTTTTGGGAGAAAAGATCAACACAAGATGGTGCCCGAGGGCCCCACAAGGCAATAGGGTGCGCCCTGAAGGAAATATGCCCTAGAGGCAATAATAAAGTTATTATTTATTTCCTTATTTCATGATAAATGTTTATTATTCATGCTAGAATTGTATTAACCGGAAACATAATACATGTGTGAATACATAGACAAACATAGTGTCACTAGTATGCCTCTACTTGACTAGCTCGTGAATCAAAGATGGTTAAGTTTCCTAACCATAGACATGAGTTGTCATTTGATTAATGGGATCACATCATTAGGAGAATGATGTGATTGACATGACCCATTCCGTTAGCTTAGCACTTGATCGTTTAGTATGTTGCTATTGCTTTCTTCATGACTTATACAAGTTCCTACAACTATGAGATTATGCAACTCCCGTTTACCGGAGGAACACTTTGTGTGCTACCAAACGTTACAACGTAACTGGGTGATTATAAAGGATCTCTACAGGTGTCTCCAAAGGTACATGTTGAGTTGGCGTATTTCGAGATTAGGTTTTGTCACTCCGATTGTCGGAGAGGTATCTCTGGGCCCTCTCGGTAATGCACATCACTATAAGCCTTGCAAGCAATGTAGCTAATGAGTTAGTTACGGAATGATGCATTACGTAACGAGTAAAGAGACTTGCCGGTAACGAGATTGAACTAGGTATTGAGATACTGACGATCGAATCTCGGGCAAGTAACATACCGATAACAAAGGGAACAACGTATGTTGTTATGCGGTTTAACCGATAAAGATCTTCATAGAATATGTAGGAGCCAATATGAGCATCCAGGTTCCGCTATTGGTTATTGACCGGAAACATGTCTCGGTCATGTCTACATAGTTCTCGAACCCGTAGGGTCCGCACGCTTAAGGTTTCGATGACAGTTTTATTATGAGTTTATGAGTTTTGATGTACCGAAGGAGTTCGGAGTCCCGGATGAGATCGGGGACATGACGAGGAGTCTCGAAATGGTTGAGACGTAAAGATCGATATATTGGACGACTATATTCGGACTTCGGAAAGGTTCCGAGTGATTCGGGTATTTATCGGAGTACCGGAGAGTTAGGGGAATTCGCTGGGGAGAAGTATTGGGCCTTATTGGGCCATACGGGAAAGAGAGAGGGGCTGCCTAGGGAAGGCCGCGCCCCCCCAAGGCCTAGTCCGAATTGGACTAGGGGGAGGGGCCGCACCCCCTCCTTCCTTCCCTTCTCTCTTCCCCTTCCTTCTCTCCTACTCCTACTAGGAAAGGAGGAGTCCTACTCCCGGTGGGAGTAGGACTCCCCCCTTGGGCGCGCCTCCTCCTCCTTGGCCGGCCCTCCTTCCCTTGCTTCTTTATATACGGGGGCAGGGGGCACCCCAAAGACACACAAGTTGATCATCGTGATCGTTCCTTAGCCGTGTGCGGTGCCCCCCTCCACCATATTCCACCTCGGTCATATCGTTGTGGTGCTTAGGCGAAGCCCTGCGTCGGTAGAACATCATCATCGTCACCACGCCGTCGTGCTGAAGGAACTCATCCCCGACACCCTGCTGGATCGAAGTCCGGGGATCGTCATTGAGCTGAACGTGTGCTGAACTCGGAGGTGCCGTACGTTCGGTGCTTGGATCGGTCGGATCGTGAAGACGTACGACTACATCAACCGCATTGTCATAATGCTTCCGCTTACGGTCTACGAGGGTACGTGGACAACACTCTCCCCTCTCATTGCTATGCATCACCATGATCTTGCGTGTGCGTAGGATTTTTTTTGAAATTACTACGTTCCCCAACAGTGGCATCCGAGCCTGGTTTTATGCGTAGATGTTATATGCACGAGTAGAACACAAGTGAGTTGTGGGCGATACAAGTCATACTGCTTACCAGCATGTCATACTTTGGTTCAGCGGTATTGTGAGATGAAGAGGTCCGGACCGACATTACGCGTACGCTTACGCGAGACTGGTTTCACCGTTACGAGCACTCGTTGCTTAAAGGTGACTGGCGGGTGTTTGTCTCTCTCACTTTAGTTGAACCGAGTGTGGCTACGCCCGGTCCTTGCGAAGGTTAAAACAACACTAAC